ATTGTATGAAAGATGACATGAAACTACAGGGAAAATTGTATGAAAGATAACATGAAACTACAGGGAAAATTATATGAAAGGTGAATGAGATTTGAACGGCAACTTTTAAAGAGAGTTAAAATCAAACCTGCAAATTATATGAAGCACTATGACAATTTTGCTAATTTTAACAGATTCTTGGCATATTATTTTGCCACAATTTGAAGACAGGTATCAACAGTTATGATGAAGGGAGTGAACTATTATTGAATATGTTTCAAATTCCTTTGGTTTCATTAAAAGTAACATCTGAGGACAAGCATCTTTGACCACTGGTCATTTTGTGATAGAGGTACTCACCTTTATGGTTCTGACCACTGGTCAATTTGTGATTTAGCTACTCACTTTTATGGTTCCGACCACTGGTCAATTTGTGATTGAGCTACTCACCTTTATGGTTCTGACCACTGGTCAATTTATGATTGAGCTACTCACCTTTATGGTTCTGACCACTGGTCACCTTGTCATTGAACTTCTTACCTTTATGGTTTCTCGTCAAAAGACGGTAATATAGCTTACTTTGGGCTACTTATAAAGTGATACATTACCCAGATGTTCACTAAATATTTAATTGTAATCAAAGATGCAGAAGGGGGAAAAAACTGGGGAAAAAAAACAAGTTTGGTAGGGGAATTAGGATAAAACTGATTACAAGCTTGGACCCAAAGCAACAATAAACAAACATGAAATCTGAGAACTAAAACCATGTTAAATCTTCTGTCATTGGATGACAGAATAGATTGACCTGAACAGGATATCAAAGTAATCCTAACAGGATATCAAAGTAATCCTAACAGGATATCAAAGTACTCCTAACAGGATAGCAAAGTCATCCTAACAGGATATCAAAGTACTCCTAACAGGATATCAAAGTAATCCTAAAAGGATATCAAAGTACTCCTAACAGGATATCAAAGTACTCCTAACAGGATATCAAAGTACTCCTAACAGGAAATCAAAGTAATCCTAACAGGATATCAAAGTAATCCTAACAGGATATCAAAGTAATCCTAAACTTCACTAACCAAATCCAGCAGCTGATTCAATGCAAGGGCAAAGGTCACTTGAACTGTATGACTTGCATTTTTCACAGGCCTGGACTCAGCTGTATAGTCCGAGAATAGGTCAAGGTAAAGTTTGTGTTCAGGGCCATCAATCTGGGTCACCTCTGGTGAAACTAGGAAATAATACAGGTGATTAGAATATCTATAGCTTTACAGGTTTTTAAGAATATCTATAGCTTGACAGCTGATTAGAATATCTATAGCTTGACACGTGATTAAACTATCTATAGCTTTACAGGTGATTAGAATATATGTGGCTTTACAGATAGTTAGACTGTGTAAACTTTGAGAGGTGATTAGACTATATATACCTGGATAGGTGATTAGAATAAGGGTGTGGGGGCAGGAGGGGGGATCCCCCCCCCCTCATTTAACTAAATAATTTTAGTTATATTACCCCAAGAAATGGCGAAATTATGGATTGGGAAAGTTTTCTATGGAATTATTGGATGGGATTTGTTGTTTTGATACCCAAGGTATTTGAAGCATTCCTAAATATTGTGGGGGGGGGGGGCAAAGGTGAATAGTACGTGAGGTAGGTAAGTTGAATGGTCAGTGAAGTGTGTACGTTTAAGGGGAATGGTCAGTGGATTGGTTTAGGGGAATGGGCAGTGGGGTGGTTAGGGTTATGGAATTATTGGATGGGATTTGTTGTTTTGATACCCAAGGTATTTGAAGCATTCCTAAATATTGGGGGGGGGGGGGCAAAGGTGAATAGTACGTGAGGTAGGTAAGTTGAATGGTCAGTGAAGTGTGTACGTTTAAGGTGAATGGTCAGTGGATTGGTTTAGGTGAATGGTCAGTGGAGTGGTTAAGGTGAATGGTCAGTGTGTTGGATAAGGTTAAAGTGGATGGTCAGTGTAGTTAGATAGTCAGTGTGGTGGGTCATGTAAAGGGTCATTGTACTTAGAATTCAAATTTTACTAAAAGGTTAGTGTTGTAGTTAGTGTGGCAGTTAACGTGACATTGTGACACACTAGACTATGCCTATCACGTAGTATCTGAGACTATGAGACACACTAGGCCAGTGGTCGGCAAACTCATTAGACCAGTGGTCGGCCAACTCATTAGACCAGTGGTCGGCCAACTCATTAGACCAGTGGTCGGCCAACTCATTAGACCAGTGGTCGGCAAACTCATTTGTCAAGAGAGTCAAAAATCAGCAGCAGGACGACTTAATTTTTTTTTAGAGCCAAATTTCTTTTCAACAAACCGTCAAGAACCATGTTTTTTTGGATTCAAAACCAATTTGTGGCCGACCGGCCGAGCCGCACTCACGTCACCGCATGCGGTTAGGAAGCCGCGATTTGCAGACCACTGCACTTGGCTAGTCTGGCTACTCTATAGGCCTACTGTAGTGTGTCTCATACGAAGTCTGACTACTCCATAGGCCTACTGTAGTGTCCCATAGAAACGCCTACTGTAGTGAGCCCTACTATAACTATAGGACACACTACAATACGCCTATCAAGTAACCAGACAATGTGACACACTACAGTGACTGACACTACGATAGCCTTAAACTTATACTCACCAGATGGAAGCAGTAATGAGAAAATCAATACTGCAGCAGTCACTGGCCAGCCTTGAATCTGGTCAGTGTTCATCCTTTGCATAGTCAGTGCACTTCAGATCAAGGCTTCAATTCTGTCCCCTCTCAAAATGATAGCACTGACCTTAGTTAATGCATCTGTTGCAGACATCGCCTTACATAACACTAAAGAAGTACACAGCAGCCATCTTCTATCTCCCATATTATTATTGTTTTTACTTGGCGCGTGCGTAGCTCGTGCAACACTTGCGCGCGGGAGAGAGAGAGAGAGAGAGAGAGGGAGGGGATCGAGATATTCCAAACGCTTCGTTTATTTCGTCCATAACTTTACTTTTTGGAACAACTCCAGGGAAAGAAAAACACCAAAACGAAAAAAGGAAGCGAGGGCACGTTATTTTAATGTCGATACCTAATGTTTTCAAGAAATATTAATGTGTGTGTTTTTTTTTAATGGGTAATGTTTGTAAGATAGCTAATGCCTTTGAAATAACCAAATTTTTTTAAATGGCTAAAGCTTATGAGAAAGCGATTGTTTGTGAGATGGCCCCTTTTTGTTGGAAAGCTATTGATTGTAACAGTGCTACTGTTTGTGAGAGGGTAATGTTTATGCTTGTAATATAACTCTGCTACCAGTTATATTGCTCCACCCTTCTATTAGCTAATAGCTATACTCTTCTATTACATTTCGGTTACCTGCGGTGTGCCACATGGCTTAGTTTTAGACCCATCCTATTCTCCATGTACACTAGCCAGATTGGCAGAATTATTGAAAGTTGTGTTATACCCAACTAATTATTTGCGGATAACACAGAACTGTACAAGAGTGTCCTGAACCTTTGGACTGCGCTGCTACTGTGCAAGCTGTCGGGGACTGCTGTCTTGTGGTGAAATCATGGATAACATCAAACAGACTTTAATTAAATGATGATAACACAGAGGCGATTATATGTAGTTCTGTTATCAATCTTTGGAAGGCTGCTATCCCATCGATAAAAGTTGGTACTTCTGAGATCCCCTTGTCCAACACTGTCAGACACCTTGGCTTCTACACTGACAGTAAACAGACAATGACTCCTCATATCTGTTCTGTGGTCAGGGTTTGTTTCTGCCATCTTCGCGCTCTGGGTCTGCTGCGTCCTCAACTTCATAAGAGATCAGCCAATGCCGTGGCAGGGACTCTAATCCAATCAAGATTAGATTACTGTAACGCAAAACCTAATTCATAGACTCCAGAAGGTACAACATACCGCAGCACGTATTGGATTGCGTATAGAGAAATCTGACCACATCAAACCAGTTCTTAAAGATCTCCATTGGCTTCCTCTGAGTGAAGGAATTGACTCCAACATTCTGTCCCTGGCGTATAGTTGTATAAAAGGCCCTGCACCTGAAGACCTTAAAAAACTGATTTCTAAAAATGTATCCATACACATGGGCGCCCGCAGAAAACTTTCTAGGGGAGGGGGGGCAAAAAAATCGATTAACTTTCCAGGGGGGGGGGGGAATTTTTAGTAATGTTTTAATATAGTTTTAATTTACTGTAGCGTATTTGTATGGTGAATGAACGGACAGGACGTCAGCTTAGTTACTTTCTCTTTATTTTCTCTTTACTTTAATATATTTTTTGTCTATTTTTGTGTAAACATTTTTTTATTCTATTTTTGTGTAAACATTTTTTTATCCAAGCAATCCATGGGGGGGGGGGACAAGTGCCCCTCCTTGCCCCTACCTGCGGGCGCCCATGTCCATACAGAACCTGCGCTCTTCAACAGAGACCTTACTGATAGTTCCCAGTGTGGATAGACACAGAAAGAAGTCATACGGAGGGCGCTCTTTTGAAGCTATTGCGCCTAAATTGTGGAACAGTTTGCCTCAATCTTTGAGGAACATTTCAAATGATAAGAAATAATTTAAGAACCATTTAAAGAATTTTTTCTTTAAATTTAAATAGATTTTAGGCCATCAGTGCGCCGTGATCATGCTAAAATAGCATGGAGACAAGCGCTACAAAAGTACTCGATCAATACTGCCATCCCTCTTCTGCATCTCTGTTACCAGTAAATGCATTTGTAGTGCCCAGTTCATCAGATGGATTAAGTGACAATGATTTTTCATTTTTTTAAAACGCTGAACTTCCCATAAATACCCCTTAACCAGAGCTCGGAGAGGAGCTGACAAAAAAAAATCCGCGGTGGAGCTTGGGTGGAGCCATTAATTAGATTAAATCCATCATGAAGTACCGTAAGTCAAGGCCTATAGATAGACTAACAAAATACAAGTAAGTGTCTAACATATCATTTTAATTTATATATAAATATATATAAAAAATGTTATTAGTTATTGTTCTGGTTATAGTAGATGCTAGCTTACGTAAAATGTTTCAGAAATACAAGATCAGGTCATGACACATGTGGTGTTGATTTATTACTGTGTAGTCGATGCCGTTCTGTCCCCACTTGTAGGAAATATAAACTAAAATCAGAGACACGGTTCTGCTACGTTCATCCCGTCTGACGTCAAAAAAAAACAAAAACCAACAAGTTAATGACTAGTAGAAGACAGGGGAGAAGAACATCTTGGTTTTGTTTAATCGGAAGTGACGTCATGGTGACGTGTTGGAAAGGATCCTTCATAATTATGATTCACCCGCGAGTCGTACAATGTTAATGTTGACCTTTCTTTGAGTCCTTAAATGGGAAGGTTTATCTCCTGTGAGTTCTGACCTGCGAATATTATCCCCTGTTAGTGCCAGCTTGTGAATGTTATCTCCTGTGATTTCGACAATGTGAATGCTTATCATCTTGAACCTTCCTGAAAACTGTCCTCGTTGCATGTTCCTCTTCTTCCGGGTGGGATGCTGTGTGTTGTCTCCTGGTAGACAGCACGGTCTGACTGTCGTCTGATGAGACTTCTTCGTTGTCCTGAGACGCCGACCGCCGCCTGCATCTACCCGGTGCTGCACCATCTTTGGAGCAGACGCCGCCAGGTGGCGTGTTGTCCTGCTCGACGGAGGGAGATCTGTGGTGCGTGGTGGCCCTGCGCTGGCTGCTGCTGTGGAGCCAGTGGCGTTTTCGAAGACGGAGAAAATTCTTGATGTCGTCAGAGACATCGTCATATTCGCCATCTTTGTCATCTGAATGACATCTCCTATTGTCACTTGGTTTATGTTCACATTTATGCTGCACAGAGTGGGGACTCTCATTCCTACAAAGATAGTGAGAGTTATTTTTAGACGGCGACGCCTTATCATGTGATCTGCGAGCCACGAACTGCTCCACTTCCCGACCAGTGTCCTTCTGCTGTGAATCAGATGCTTCCAGAATCCTGCGAACACGGTCCGATCTGCTGCGAGCCTGCCTGTCCATATCTAGGTCAACTTTTTTCCTGACGATCCCGCCGTCGTGGCTGACGGATGTCTCGTAGAACCGATCAACACCCTCCATTGAGTCGGACCGTACGTCTGCGTCATCACTTTCATAACAGGGTAACGGTAAGGTTTTAGACTTTTTTCGCTTAGCCTTCTGTAAGCTGCTCTCATTGGTCTGCGGAGCTGAAGCTTTTGCTTTCTCTGAATCCTTGGCTGGTCGGTTCACTTGAGAATTCAGCACGATGGTGTCCTTGTTTTTCTGCTTCTCTGACAACTTTCGATTGTTTCTAGAGAAATCCAGGTTCGTCCCGTCATCTAGCACTCCTAAACTCATTTGTTGGCTCTCTGAAACATTCGAGTCAGTTCGATTGAAAGACATGTACAAAATCTCTCCTTGAACGAAATATGAGAGTGTTGGACTGCGATAAAGCTTAAAGCTTTAAAATAGATTAAATAGACACAATTAATGCAACAATATATATTTTTAGCTTTAATAATAATTTTAAATAATACACAAGTAAACGTTTCGGCACATGCCTTCATTTGTGTAACAACAAAACATTTAAATACATATAAATTATATATAATTTATATATATATATATATATATATATATATACATATATACATATCCTACCTAAAAAGCAGGAGAAAAAAATATGAGTGAGCAGAAAAATCAGGCAGAAACAAATTAAAGCAGAATGGAAAGGAAGTGATTTGAAGTAAAATATAAAAAACCAAATAGGAAAAAGACATGGCAGTTACGTAAAATTATGTATCATCCTTTTCTAAAAATAGAAACTTGATTATTTAATAACAAATAATAATTTTTTTAAAGAAATAAAATAATACCATGATAATTTCTTACCTGAAAGTCTGTTTGCTGGAAGCTTGGCGCACGAGTCTGTGATTTCAGACAAAGTAAAGATCAGCTTTATAAATTACATGTAATCACAATACAAAGTAAATATTAACTATTTAATCTAAAATCGCTACGTTCTTTAAATGATCACAATTCAAAACTTCTTTGCTTTTGGAAAAGTACTTGTATAACTCCACTATTGTATATCCCACATCAAAGGTTGATAACTTACCTGTTGTATATCCCACATCAAAGGTTGATAACTTACCTGTTATATACCCCACATCAAAGGTTGATAACTTACCTGTTGTATATCCCAAATCAAAGGTTGATAACTTATCTGTTGTATATCCCACATCAAAGGTTGATAACTTACCTGTTGTATATCCCACATCAAAGTTTGATAACTTACCTGTTGTATATCCCACATCAAAGGTTGATAACTTACCTGTTGTATATCCCACATCAAAGGTTGATAACTTACCTGTTGTATATCCCACATCAAAGGTTGATAACTTACCTGTTGTATATCCCACGTCAAAGGTTGATAACTTACCTGTTTTATACCTCACGTCAAAAGTTGATAACTTATCTGTTGTATACCCCACGTCAAAGGTTGATAACTTACCTGTTATATACCCCACGTCAAAGGTTGATAACTTATCTGTTGTATACCCCACGTCAAAGGTTGATAACTTACCTGTTATATACCCCACGTCAAAGGTTGATAACTTACCTGTTGTATACCCCACGTCAAAGGTTGATAACTTACCTGTTGTATATCTCTCACCATCAGATTTGAATCGTCCCGTCATTCTTTTGGCAACTTCAACTAAAGAAATAATCAGCAGGTTTTATGGATAACCATGACATGTTCACAGAACAGTAAAAAGTTTCTTACTAACATAGTCTTAAGTGGTGACGGTGCCTCTAGGCTACACCTGAACACAGGCTACAGAGGTAGTCGTTCCACATGGATTAATCTGAACAAAAGCTACAGTGGTAATTGTTCCTCCAGGTTTAATCTGAACATTGACAACAGCGGGAATAGTTCAGCGAGTTTTAATCTTTATGATTCAAGTGAATTTAATATTTGAAATTATCCCTTAAAACTGTTTTGTTTTGAGAGTAATGTTTGATTTATTGAACAACTATTCCCTATTATGACATCATTGGCATGTCACGCCATATTATATCATTTAAACTTATTAATATGATAATACATTGGGACACCTTGACCTACCCGCTGTAGAGTTACAATGTGCTCTGATGGTTCCACTCACAGAGATGTCTGCCTCCCAGGGACAGAAGTGGGGCTGATATCCTAGAGAGATGGTAGCAGGATGGTAGCAAGACTTAGACCATAACCTTGTAAACGATGGTAGTAAGATGTACATGATCATCTTCTTATATACCGGTACAAAGAATGTGACTTGATGGATGTGCTCTATAAGAGCGTTCAGTCCATTGGATCCAAGTCATCGATAGATCAAATTGTTTTTTACTTGGGAAACGATCGACTTCATAGTAGAAAGATTACGTAACAAAAAGACACACGGATAGAGTGCCATCAGCTCTATGAACATGTGAAGTAATTGCACATTGGGTTATTTTAAATACATGAAACAGAAGGATGTTTGACATTGTTTTAATATTGGACAAATATCCAAATATTAATTTAACACAGTCAGATCCCCTCTTTACAATCAGGGTATTGTTATCATCAGTGCTTTATTAGGCACACATAACACACAAATTAAGCACACATTAGGCACACATTAGCTACACATTAGGCAAACAATAGACACAAATTAGACACACATTAGCTACACATTAGGCACACAATAGACACAAATTAGACACATATTAGCTACACATTAGGCACACAATAAACACAAATTAGGCACACATTAGGCACACAATAGACACAAATTAGACACACATTAGCTACACATTAGACACAAATTAGACACACATTAGCTACACATTAGGCACACAATTGACACAAGTTAGACACACATTAGATACACATTAGGCAAACAAATTAGACACACAATAGGAACACAGACATACATTAGGACCACATATTAGACACACATTAGAGACAAATTAGACACACATTAGAGACACATTAGACACACACTGGGAACACCTTGACTTGGTATGCTCGTATGTAGTTTTTTTAATGTTGCGTCTGTTTTTAAATGTGATAAATTTTAGATTGTTTTGTTTTTTTCTCTTTTTAATATGGTTGACTTTGTACCGCGCTTCGAGCTTTTGGGGATGAAGAGTGTTTTTCAAATAAACTTTATTATTATTATTATTAGGCACACATGAGACATACATTAGGCACAGAATACTCACGAGACATGCATTTTCCTAAACATCTAGATTTCTGCAAAAAATCTTTTGACGGACCTGCGAAAAAAAGCATTTGATATTTATTGGTTGAATGTTAGACAAGAGGAGATGCAAAGTTTGTAAGAAATGATTGGACATAAGATTTGCATTGTGAGTAACAAAGGACTGAGTGTAAGAGATGCACTGTGGGTAAGAAAGAACTGCATGTGACTGATGCATTTTGGCTATAAAAGGACTAGCTGTAAGACTAAACGAAGCAACTCTAGGATTTAAAAAAGGTACTTTGGCCTAACACAATTAACTTTAATGTTAACACATACAACTTTAGGGTTAGCACAAGACTCCACGTGTTAAAAGATCTTTCAATATGACGAGAGCTTCGAATGTTATTCAACAAATCTTGTATTTTAATGTAATATATCACGTGCCACAGTCACCAGGGACCACTGCTTCTAGCGACTACTGACTCTTGGGATCACTGACTCTAGGGAACACTGACTCTAGAGAATACTGATTCTAGGGACCACAGCTTCTAGTGACCACTGACTCTAGGGACCACTGACTCTAAGGACCACTGACTCTAGGGACCACTGACTCTAGCGACCACTGACTATAGGGACCACTGACTCTAGGGATCACTGACTCAATAGAATCACCGAAACCAGATACCAGTGATTCTAGGGTCACCGTCACTTGGGACAAAGGGACCATTGTCACTATCATACGGACCAACGATTCTGCAGACAAAACCACCGATGGACAATATTACTGGTGGACCACATCGCTGGTGGACCACATCACTGGTAGACCACATCACTGGTGGAACATCAAACTGGTGGGACACATCACTGGTGGAACACATCACTGGTGGAACACATCACTGGTGGAACACATCACTGGTGGAACACATCACTGGTTGAACACCAAACTGGGGTGGGGGGGGGGGAGAGACACATCACTGGTGGATACCATCACTGGTGGACCACATCCCTGGTGGAACACCAAACTGGTGGACCACATCACTGGTGGAACACATCACTGGTGGACCACATCACTGGTGGACCACATCACTGGTGGACCACATACCTGGTGGACCACATCACTGGTGGACCACATCAATGGTGGACCACATCACTGGTGGACCACATCACTGGTGGACCACATCTCTGGTGGACTACATCACTGGCGGACCACATCTCTGGTGGACCACATCACTGGTGGACCACATCACTGGTGGACCACATCTCTGGTGGACCACATCACTGGTGGACCACATCACTGGTGGACCACATCACTGGTGGACCACATCACTGGTGGACCACATCACTGGTGGACCACATCTCTGGTGGACCACATCACTGGTGGACCACATCACTGGTAGACCACATCACTGGTGGACCACATCACTGGAGGACCACATCTCTGGTGGACCACATCACTGGCGGACCACATCTCTGGTGGACCACATCACTGGTGGACCACATCACTGGTGGATTACATCACTAGTGGACCACATCTCTGGTGGACCACATAACTGGTGGACCACATCACTGGTGGACCACATAATTGTGGACCACATCACTGGTGGATTACATCACTGGTGGACCACATCTCTGGTGGACCACATCACTGTTGGACCACATCACCGGTGGACAACATCACTTGTGGACCACATCTCTGGTGGAGGATAAGGAGCGTAGTGACCGCGCTTTTGGGGGTTTGGATCTTCGGCTCAATTCTATTTTTAGAAAAATGATTTACTTTCAAACATGTTCTGTATACATTGCGCTTTTTGCCGCAAACATCAAGGAACATCCGGGTTATCTCAAACTCTCGGTACTCACTGGTCCACTGATACTAAGGACCACTGATACTAAGGACCACTGATACTAAGGACCACTGATACTAAGGACCACTGATACTAAGGACCCCTGATACTAAGGACCACTGATACTAAGGACCACTGATAGTAAGGTCCACTGATACTAAGGACCACTGATACTAAGGACCACTGATACTAAGGACCACTGATAGTAAGGACCACTGATACTAAGGACCACTGATAGTAAGGACCACTGATACTAAGGACCACTGATAGTAAGGACCACTGATACTAAAGACCACTGATACTTAGGACCACTGATAGTAAGGACCACTGATACTAAGGACCACTGATACTAAGGACCACTGATACTAAGGACCACTGATACTAAGGACCACTGATACTAAGGACCACTGATAGTAAGGTCCACTGATACTAAGGACCAATGATACTAAGGACCACTGATACTAAGGACCACTGATACTAAGGACCACTGATAGTAAGGACCACTGATAGTAAGGACCACTGATAGTCAGGACCACTGATACTAAGGACCACTGATACTAAGGACCAATGATACTAAGGAACATTGATACTAAGGACCACTGATAGTAAGGACCACTGATACTAAAGACCACTGATAGTAAGGACCACTGATAGTAAGGACCACTGATACTAAGGACCATTGATACTAAGGACCACTGATACTAAGGACAAATGATACTAAGGACCACTGATACTAAGGACCAATGATACTAAGGACCACTGATACTAAGGACCACTGATACTAAGGACCACTGATACTAAGGACCAATGATACTAAGGACCACTGATACTAAGGACCACTGATACTAAGGACCACTGATACTAAGTCCCACTGATACTAAGGACCACTGATAGTAAGGACCACTGATAGTAAGTCCCACTGATACTATGTCCCACTGATACTAAGTCCCACTGATAGTAAGGACCACTGATAGTAAGGATCACTGATAGCAAGGACCACTGATACTAAGTCCCACTGATACTAAGGACCACTGATACTAAGGACCAATGATACTAAGGACCACTGATACTAAGGACCAATGATACTAAGGACCACTGATACTAAGGACCAATGATACTAAGGACCACTGATACTAAGGACCACTGATACTAAGGACCACTGATACTAAGTCAAACTGATACTAAGTCCCACTGATAGTAAGGACCACTGATAGTAAGGACCACTGATACTAAGTCCCACTGATACTAAGTCCCACTGATAGTAAGGACCACTGATAGTAAGGACCACTGATACTAAGGACCACTGCTACTAATTCCTACCATCAACACCACATCGGTCATCTGTCCCGACCCTCGTTTCTTGACACACAGCCTCCCCGGATGATCTGATGAAAAAATCAATAAATATGGCGAATATTTCATTGCATTAAACTGTCCGAGAAGTAGTCAATACAAATACAAGTCAATACAAGTAGTCAATACAAGTAGACAACTAACAAGTCAAAGTTTGCAGTGAGCTAAAAAATGAATATTTTCTATTAGTTGACAACGCCTGTTGATGTTTGTTGGTAATCTATATATATAAAAATAAATGTTTGTATGTCTGTCTGTATGTCTGTATGTCTCGTATGCGCTCCTACACCATGCATGCGATTGCAACAAAACTTTGGTCAAATGTTGTCCACATAACCGGCCATTTAACTAACTCTTTAAAAACCTTATCAACTGTTTCGTTCCTAGCCGTTGGCCCTTAATTCGTTTTTTTTTCTAATATGAGCTTTGTAAAAATGGTTTCCACATGCGCTCCTAAGCCATTTATCCGATTCATATAAAACTTTGGTGAAATGTTGCGAGCATGTCCATAAACATTTCTAAATTATTACAATCGTTTTAAATTATTCAGTTTTGAGCCAGGAGCCTCATATTCGTTTTTCCTAATATGAGCTATATAAATATATTTTCAAACCGTGTGCGCTCCTACACCAATCAAGCGATTGCTACAAAACTTAATGAGTTGTTGTCCATGCGCCAGTGCATTTTACTGTGTTATTTAAACACTTTTACAAACATTCTGTTTTCGGCCGTTGGCCCTTAATTCGTATTTTTTCTAATATGAGCCTTGTAAAAAATAATTTTCATATGCGCTCTTACGCCATTTATCCGATTCCAATAAAACTTGGGTGAGATGTTGCAAGCATGTCCATAAAGGTTTCTAAATTATTACAACCGTTTTAAAGTATTCATTTTTGAGCCAGGGGCCTCATATTCGTTTTTCCTAATATGAGCTATATAAATATATTTTCAAACCGTATGCGCTCCTACACCAATCATGCGATTGCTACAAAACATAATGAGATGTTGTCCATGCGCAAATGCATTTTACTGTGTTATTTAAACACTTTTAAAAATATTCCGTTTTCGGCCGTTGGCCCTTAATTCGTATTTTTTCTTATATGAGCTTTGTAAAAAATAATTTTCATATGCGCTCCTACGCCATTTATCCGATTGATATAAAACTTTGGTGAGATGTTGCAAACATGTCCATAAAGGATTCTAAATCATTACAACCGTTTTAAAGTATTCAGTTTTGAGCCAGGGGTCTCATATTCGTTTTTCCTTATATGAACTATATAAATATATTTTCAAACCGTATGCGCTCCTACACCAATCATGCGATTGCTACAAAACTTAATGAGTTGTTGTCCATGCGCCAGTGCATTTTACTGTGTTATTTAAACACTTTAAAAAATATTATGTTTTCGGCCGTTGGCCCTTAATTCGTATTTTTTCTTATATGAGCCTTGTAAAAAATAATTTTCATATGCGCTCCTACGCCATTTATCCGATTGCAATAAAACGTAAAACTTTGTTGAGATGTTGGAAGCACGGCCGCAAAGGTTTTTAAATTATTATAAACTTTTTAAAATATTCCAATTTTAGCCAGCGGCCTTATTTACGTTTTTTTCTTATATGAGCTATATAAATATAATTTCAAACCGTATGCGCTCCTGCACCATTCACGCGATTGCGACAAAACTTTGACGAGTTGTTATCTATAAACATAACCATTCATTACAACACTTTTAAAATATTCCGTTTTGGGCCGTTGATCCAAATTCTTATTTTTTCTTATATGCACTTTGTAAAAAATAATTTTCTATGCGCTCCTATACCATTTTTCAGATGCGATAAAAATTTAGTGAGATGTTGTTCTATCGCCCACAAAGGTTCTTAAATTACTACAACCGTTTTAAAATATTCAGTGTTGAGCCAGGGGCCCTATGTTTGTTTCTTACAAAATGAGCTATATAAATATAATTTCAAACCGCATGCGCTCCTACATCATTCAAGCGCTTGCGATAAAACTGAGGTGAGTATTACAACCATTTTAAAATACTCCGTTTTTAGCCAGGGGTCCTATGTTCGTTTTTTCTATATAAGCTATACAAATATAATTTTAAGCTATACAACTATAATTTCAAACAGAGCTAAAGCATGAATGGATAGCTTTTTAATCAAATACAAATAGTGATATTAAATTGAGTGTGTGACATATTAAGTAGGTTTCTGAAGTAATACAACAATTTTACAATATTCCATTTGTGGAGGGGGGTCCTAAATTCGTTTTCCACACTTCTATTATCTATATAATTATAGTATGCATTTCTATACCATTCATTCGATTGTGATCAAACTGGGTCAAGTGAAATGCGCACTACCGAAAATGTTTCTAAATTAGAAAAAAACATTTTACAACATTCCGTTTGGGCCAGTGACCCTAATTTCATATTTTCTTCTAAGAGCTTTGTAACTATAATTTCAAACAAAGCTATTGCATGTGTGGAAGTAGCTGAATCCGCCGGCAATTTTTTCAAATTTAGTACATCCATTGTACAATATTCCAATTAGGGCTGGGGACCCTAAATTCAATTTATTTTCTTAAATGAGCTTCATCAATTAAATTTATAACGGAGATATCAACACTACCGCCCTTGAACAAATGGCACATTTGTAGTAAAGCAGAGAAAACACGTTTTTACATTTTTGGTGTAGAGAGTATTTTTGTTATGTGTATAAATAAGCTTGAATTTTGTGACGTATTTTAGAATGGGAAATGACATCGAAATCGCGTTTTTTTTTTTCAACTAAGAGTATTTCTTGAATAGAGTCTCATAATTTCGGAGTTGTTTTGTGTTATGTCAATACATTTTACACCAATCGATGGTTTCTCAAGTAATTAAATAACACACTTGACAGCGTAGATATTGAACTACGGTCATTTTTTACCGCTGGAATTTACGATTTATAAATTAATGAGAAACTTTACAACTGGAAATACGCAAATGCAATTCATGTTTCCAAATGACATCGTTCGGTGCAACAAATATCGTGCGCGAGAATTACATGCCAACATTTAAAGTTAAGTGAAAGGCCAAATTTACCATCGTGTAGGATCTCTGATGCCAATGCCAAACACAGATCACAAATGTCTTCGAATGATTTCATGGGGAATACTGATGAGCAAATCGATCAACGTTGTCATATCAATACGGGCACTAAACGAGAAATCGTCGCTGCAATGCAAACGTTATTTTTGCAACACAGCGAATTAATTCAAATGTATAGAGTTGCACTTGAAAAGATGCCGACTGATGAATACAAAGTCATAGTTAGAGCAGACTAAACACCTGTCGGCCAACATGAAAGACAATACAATGCACCAACAATTGATGAAGTGGCGATCATTATAGTTGGCAAAGAATTTAACTCAAGTGATATAATTCTTCATTGCAGAAGTGTTGATATTCAGAGAGTCTCAGAAACTCATCGCTCATACGTTTGATTGCAATATCCTATTTTATTTTGGCAAGGAGAAGATGGATATCATTTTGACATCAAATTGAGAATTTCGAATAAGAAAGACAGTGCCATGAAATACTATTCATATCGATTGATGATTCATGAGTTGGGAATGACCTCTCGGAATCGATCTGCAAACAAACTTTTCGCTCTTGATTTGCAACGAGAAACGCACTTTGATATCGAAGCATTAGGTACGGTACATTTTTTCAAATGAATCTTCCGAAATTGGTTCCATTTAAGTTACTATTTTAAATGGAAAATTTAAACTAGGTGATGTACTTTTGCCATTCACCCCAATGATTCCAACAGATATGCCATTTGAATTCAAACGCCTACAGTTTCCTATGCGACACGCGTCTACAATGACTATCTACAAAGCACAGGGACAATCGCTACAAGTTTGCGGACTAAATTTGGAAAACCCATGCTTCGCCCATGGACAGATGTATGTGGCCTGCTCTCGCGTCGGAAAATCTTCTGATTTATTCGTGTATATACCAGTACTTTTGCCATTCACCCCAATGATTCCAACAGATATGCCATTTGAATTCAAACGCCTACAGTTTCCTATGCGACACGCGTCTACAATGACTATCTACAAAGCACAGGGACAATCGCTACAAGTTTGCGGACTAAATTTGGAAAACCCATGCTTCGCCCATGGACAGATGTATGTGGCCTGCTCTCGCGTCGGAAAATCTTCTGATTTATTCGTGTATATACCAGATGGAAAAACAAGAAAAACTTTGATTATTTAAAAGCTCTTGAAGAAACATAACATGCAAACACTTTCTTTCCTTGAGTGGCATTGCAACGCATGCCGGGTACTCGCTAGTAATAAATATAAAACAACTTTATTTATGAGCGTAGAACATTAGGATAGTAAATTTAAAAACAAGTATTGTTTTATATAAATGTTTGCACAACATACGGCCCACCAGCACCCATTTTGCGGCCCGCGAAGTAACGAAATATTCTTTTTTATTATTTTCTAAATAGCTTCCGCCCGCCCTATTATCATTTGGCCCGCACAAGTTTTTCCTCAAGTATTACGGTGCGCCTTACATTTTGAGTTGTGCCGGCCTGCACTAGGGAAATAAGACAAGTCTTAAATTAGCATCGCACTACATTGCCACATCTGGCCATACTAGCTTTAATATGAGCGTGATTATATCTCTTCCTGTCAATACTAACTCCACACTCTGCCCATGATTCTACCTGTCAATACTAACTCCACACTCTGCCCATGATTTACCTGTCAATACTAACTCCACACTCTGCCCATGATTCTACCTGTCAATACTAACTCCACACTCTGCCCATGATTCTACCTGTCAATACTAACTCCACACTCTGCCCATGATTCTACCTGTCAATACTAACTCCACACTCTGCCCATGATTCTACCTGTCAATACTAACTCCACACTCTGCCCATGATTCTACCTGTCAATACAACTTGGGTGTTACCTTCCCCCACCCCTTTTTTTTCCCTTTATATTACGTGTTGATGGGACAGCAGGCCGAGTCTTGTGCACATCTAGCTGGTTCTCCACAAGGATAGCACGTCTTGTTGAACGGGTCACATGACAGTGGTGGACAGGCCTCTACAGCAGGGGCGGAGAAAAATAGCAGAGATAATTCATAACAAAAGAAATGACATGGTTCTGGTCAACATGATAGCACAATAGCTGTACAGGTCATATATGTGTATGTAGTACAATAACTGTACAGGTCCTATATGTCTATGTAGTACAATAAGTGTGCAGGTCCTATATGTCTATGTAGTACAATAAGTGTACAGGTCCTATATGTGTATGTAACACAATAAGTGTACAGGTCCTACATGAGTATGTAGTACAATAAGTGTATACGTTAAATATGATGTCCTATACATCGCTATTTATCCTATACATCACCACTGGTTCTATACATCGCTACTGGTTCTATACATCGCCCTGGTTCTATACATCGCTACTGGTTCTATACATCGCTACTGGTTCTATACGTCGCCACTGGCTCTATACATCGCTACTGGTTCTATACATCGCCAGTGGCTCTATACATTGCTACTGGTTCTATACGTCGCCACTGGCTCTATACATCGCTACTGGTTCTATACATCGCTACTGGTTCTATACATCGCTACTGGTTCTATACATCGCCACTGGCTCTATACATTGCTACTGGTTCTATACATCACCACTGGTTCTATACGTCGCCACTGGCTCTATACATCGCTACTGGTTCTATACATCGCTACTGGTTCTATACATCACCACGGGTTCTATACATCGCCACTGGTTCTATACATGCATTTTTCACATGTCCTTCTCGGTTGGAACACATTATAGAAGATGAGAAGATGACGCATTTTTGGTGTTTCTTTGACACCCGTACTCTGACTCGCCGTACACAGCTTAGTGTTTAGTTTTTTTACTTTTGTTTGTTTGCTGTTGTAGAAGGCTTTTTGCCGACACGTTCCTTGTTCTAATGCGTTAATTTTACAGTTTTTCCCCAATAAAAACAACGGGACTGACACTTTTTTAAATATTCGTATGGACCCCCAAAGGCTCCGTGGACCACAGGTTAAGTACCTTTGCATTAGATTGTATCAATATAACCTGAAAAAGGCTTAAGACTTACCTTTACAATCGTCTGCGCTGTAAGATTTCAGGCATATGCACTTTAATTGTAGGCAAACTGGACATCTGGAGCGGAAAAAGTCATCGCATTTCGTTGAGCATCTGAAGGGTGGACACGTACCATAGGGGTCACATGGATAACGTCGCCTTGGATCACAGGGGTCACAAGGATAACGTCGCCTTGGATCACAGGGATCTAATGGATCTCGAATCCGAGGATAGCATGGGTCGCATGCGTCACGCCATCTTGGATAATAGGGGTCACATGGTTCACAAGGGTCACAGGGATCACAGGGGTCACGCCTCCGAGGTCCGCAGGGATAGCATGGTTTTCGTCTTCGAGGATAACATGGGTCCGCAGGATCACAGGGGTCACAGGGATCACGACATCGGGGATCACAGGGATCACGCCTTCTTGGGTAACATGGGTCACATGGATACCTTCTTCGAGGGACGCAGGGATCACAGGGTTCAGGACACCTCGGAAAGCATGGGTCACAGGGACCTACCTTTCGAGGATAACAGGGGTCACAAGGGTAACACGGTTTACGCCTCCTTGGCAAGCAGGGGTCACATGGAATACGAGGTTCACAGGGATCAAATGAGTCACGTCTTCTTGGGACACAAGGGTCGCAAGGGTCAAACGGATCACACCTTCCTGGATCACAGGGATCCCAGGGGTCGCATCTCCTTGGTTTACAAGGGTCACATGGAAAGCACTTTTTCGGAACACAGGGGTCACAGGGATCACATCGTTTCGGACGAAATGAGTAGCATGGATCACAGGGATCGCACTTTCTGGACACAAAGCTATCGACCCCTCTTGGGTAGCATGGATAACATTTACCCTTTTTAGGATAACAAGGGTCGCACGCATCATAGGGTATGTAGCACTTGGACTTTCGGGGTGGACAGCAGGGGTCGCACGCATCATAGGGTATGTAGCACTTGGACTTTCGGGGTGGACAGCAGGGGTCGCAGAGTATGGAAGAAGGGTAGGTCTTACACTTGCGTCTGGGACAATTGATGGGATAACAGGGGTCACACGGATCAGAGGGGTCACATGGTGGACACGACACGTAGCGTTTGATGGGACTGAACGATCGTGCTCGCCTTGAGGGTACGCAGCAGTCAGGGCTACAACACACGCAGGAACATTTCAGTGGAGGGCAGCACCTCTTGGGGCGTGGCGAGCAGCTCCTACACCTGCGCATACTGGGGACAAATCAGACAACAGTTGTCTCAAACAGTGTCTTATCATACTGGGGACAAATCAGACAACAGTGGTCTCAAACAGTGTATTATCATACTGGGGACAAATCAGACAACAGTTGTCTCAAACAGTGTGTTATCATTCTGGGAACAAATTAGACAACAGTTGTCTCAAACATTGTGTTATCATACTGGGAACAAATCAGACAACAGTTGTCTCAAACAGTGTGTTATCATACTGTGGACAAATCAGACAACAGTTGTCTCAAACAGTGTATTATCATACTGGGAACAAATCAAACAACAGTTGTCTCAAACAGTGTGTTATCATACTGGCAACAAATCAGACAACAGTTGTCTCAAACAGTGTCTTATCATACTGGGGACAGATCAGACAACAGTTGTCTCAAACAGTGTGTTATCATACTGGGGACAAATCAGACAACAGTTGTCTCAAACAGTGTGTTATCATACTAGGAACAAATCAAACAACAGTTGTCTCAAACAGTGTGTTATCATACTGGGGACAAATCAGACAACAGTTGTCTCAAACAGTGTCTTATCATACTGGGGACAGATCAGACAACAGTTGTCTCAAACAGTGTTTTATCATACTGGGGACAAATCAGACAACAGTTGTCTCAATTAGTGTGTTATCATACTGGGAACAAATCAAACAACAGTTGTCTTAAACAGTGTTTAATTAAGTAAACTACGCTAACAGTTGTCACAAAGAGTCTATGTTTCAGTTAATGAGAGTATAGATACTGTAGTTTATCTCAGCATATACTGATATGATATAAATAACAACGATATTGAAAAGACTTGCATGGTTTCATTACACACATTGATAGTAGCATGCTAGATTAAATATACAAACATGAAATGCAACGACTAGATTTAAACGTTTGAATGTCCTAACCTTATGCTGCTTTGACTCCTGGGGAGCTATTACAATGTTGATCAATAGAAATAAAGTTCTCTTAAAGGTCGACCAAGATGATTTGAGCTCCAGATGTATAATGTGTGACAGATCCTAAGATCTAGATGTATAATGTGTGATATGTCCTGAGCTCCAGATGTATAATGTGTGACATGTCCTAAGCTCTAGATGTATAATGCATGATAGGTCATGAGCTCCAGATGTATAATGTGTGACATGTCCTCAGCTCTAGATGTATCATTTGTGACATGTCCTGATCTCTTGATGTATAATTTGTGATAAGTCCTCAACTCTAGATGTATAATGTGTGACATGTCCTAAGCTCCAAATGTATAATATGTGACATGTCCTGAGCTCCAAATGTATAATGTGTGACATGTCGTGAGCTCCATATGTATAATGTGTGACAGGTCCTGAGCTCCATATGTATAATGTGTGACATGTCCTGAACTCGGGTTGTATATTGTGTGACATGTCCTAAGCTCCAGATGTATAATGTGTGACAGGTCCTAACATCTAGATGTATAATGTGTGATATGTCCTGAGCTCTAGGTGTATAATGTGTGACATGTCCTCAGCTCTAGATGTATCATTTGTGACATGTCCTGAGCTCTAGATGTATAATTTGTGATAAGTCCTCAACTCTAGATGTATAATGTGTGACATGTCCTGAGCTCCAAATGTATAATGTGTGACAGGTCCTGAGATCTAGATGTATAATCTGTGACAGGTCGTGAGTCCAGGTACCACTGTCGTTGTTTGATGTCTTCTTGTAAATTGTTTCAGCCACTATGTTCCTTATTACCTTCTCCTATCTTACTCCACTACTTAATCTGCTTAACCAATGAAGCTTTATTGTTTCATAACGTATTTTGACGTGACAAAAGCAACTTGTTTGTTGTCTTATATACAAATTATTGAAAGTAACTGTTGTTTTTTTTTAAAATAAACAAAATGTAATCTCTCTTTGGTCACCATGAGTTATTCAATAAGTTACATTTCCTTTGGTCACCGTGAGTAAATCAATAAGTTACCTTTTCTTTGGTCACCATGAGTAAATCAATAAGTTACCTTTCCTTTGGTCACCGTGAGCTATTCAATAAGTTACCTTTCCTTTTGGTTACCATGAGTTATTCAATAAATTACCTTTCCTTTGGTCACCATGAGTTATTCAATAAGTTTTCTTTCCTTTGGTCACCATGAGTTATTCAATAAATTACCATTCCTTTGGTCACCATGAGTTATTAAATAAGTTACCTTTCATTTGGTCACCATGAGTTATTCAATTAGTTACCTTTCCTTTGGTCAACATGAGTAAATCAATAAGTTACCTTTCCTTTGGTCACCGTGAGTTATTCAATTAGTTACCTTTCCTTTGGTCATCATGAGTTATTCAATAAGTTACCTTTCCTTTGGTCACCATGAGTTATTCAATAAGTTACCATTCCTTTGGTCACCATGAGTTATTCAATAAGTTTTCTTTTCTTTGGTCACCATGAGTTATTCAATAAGTTACCATTCCTTTGGTCACCATGAGTTATTCAATAAGTTTTCTTTCCTTTGGTCACCATGAGTTATTCAATAAGTTACCTTTCCTTTGGTCACCATGAGTTATTCAATAAGTTACCATTCCTTTGGTCACCATGAGTAGAGTTGTTGAGCTGGTGGTGCCGACCTGGCATGCAAGCTCCTTACAATCAATGAAAACTGATCAGCTAAGTCGAGTGACGATGTCCATTGTTGACATTCTTTTTGTTACCGTACTTATAGTTTATCGTAAGGAAAACTAATAGTCAATATATAAGCAACATGAGCTCTGGGTCTTGTTATGACGCCAGTGTCCAACTCATGACCAGGGGTGAAGATTGAACAGTTATGACGACAGACCCTCTGGGTAACATTGGCCACAGTTGGCAGCTGAAACTGGAGAGTGTTGAATCTGTACTAAGTAAGAGTCTTCCTGTTGACACTTCCTGTCCATGAACAATCATGAATCAATACAATCTCATTGTGCAGAACAAGGAACGGAAATACCCGTTTGTATTTCAATGGTGCGTGGTTTGGAAGGGTGAGAATGTTTTAATCTTATAAATAAAGTTCAGTGTGACTGTGTTTGTAAATGGGTTTGTAAATATATAACTTTTGGAGTTTGGACCGAGGGCGGTTTTGAAGAGGCAGCAGGACACACCAAAAGAAAGTATAGATATAACTAGAAATTATAGTCCTACAGACAGTCCGACTAGCATACATTAATGACCTACACGAGACACTGACATCACAGGCAAGACTGTTCGCAGATGACACAGCAGTTTATTGGACGATCGCCAACAGATCTGTCCAGGACCGGCTACAACAGGATCTCAATCTGTTAGCTGAGTGGGAGATGAGCTGGGACATGGAATTTCACCCTGCCAAGTGCCAGACACTATCAATCTCTAGAAGTTGTACTCCTCTACACTACCAATACAAACTGCACGGCCATATTCTTGAGCAAGTTTCCTCCGTAAAGTACCTGGGTGTTACCATTCAAAGAGAGGTCCG